TTTGATGTTTCTCAGCTAGATGGCCGCTTTTTTGCCTTTAAGCCTTTAAGACCCCAGACACTATATCTTTTGGTAGCCGGGCACCATCAGCTTTCTTCACCACATTTGCTTATGTCCACCTTTTTCTTCAGCAATCGTGTTGGGATTGTGTGCATCCTGGAATGCCAATTTAATAGAACAACATGTTCTTGCATTGAGTAAGTGCTTGAGTGGAGGCCCAGACATTGAGCCTCTTATCATGTGTTTTTTTAGCTGTTTGAATATCCTTTTTCATGAGCACTATCCTTTATCCAGTTTTTGAGTGGGCTCTCTTATCTTTTTGCTGTGGACATTTCCTATATGTTTCTTCATATGTGTTTTGTGTTCCTGGGTATATTGTTCAATATTTAAATCTTGACATTTAAAAATATATATCTCATAATGAACTGGATAGAACATTTCTCCTCAATTAGTTTATATTGTTATGAATGAAAATTATTATGAACTTGAGGTTGGACTCATTGACTCTGATTCAATTATGTGGAATGAAATACTTCGAAAATTTACTCTGCATTTGGGAATGGAAAAACTTGTGCTAAAGTGTGTCACAGATCTATGAACTTGTTGTACGTTACTTGCCAAAATATCACATAGTGATCTATCTCTAGAATATACTTTTAGTGATCAGCTGGCAGCTCGATTAAGGTCTCCATCAGTTTGTGTGGACTTAATGAATTGGGCACCATTGGACTTGCAAAAAGATTTATTACTAAGTTACTAGTGAATAGTCATTCCTTTTTAAGCCAAAATATTTCATTGTTATTAATTAGTGCTCATAAGGTGTTTTTCACTCAAAGTACAGCATGAGGTAAGCTGAGTATGTAAGTTTCCTTTATTTTGTAAATTAGAAAATAATTGATGTGAAGGGGCAGGATACTCCATATAGCCAAATCCATTATAGGAACTAGTACGCAATGGAAGTTTAAGATGTAAAAACTAATGCCAGCAAAACCTTAGACAATATAGACCCTGAAAGTTACATGGACCCATTCTAAAGTCAGTTGCCTTTGAATTAAGGAGCCCTGGTGGGGGTTACATATCGTGCTTAGACTCTCACCACTTATTGCCAAGGAGTTGATGCCGACCCAAGCTGATCCTATAGAACAGGGTAGCACTGGTCCTGTTAGTTTCTAAGACCATAACTATTTTGGGGGAGTACAAAGTCCAGTCTTTCTCCAACAGAGTGGCTGTTGGTAACAAACTGCCAACCTCCCAGATTGCCAACACATAACCACTATACCACCTGGGCTCACAGATCATGCGTTAGGCTGTTAACGGCAATATCAGTAATTCAAAACCACAAGCCTCTGCGAGAGAGGGATGATGCTTTCTTCTTCCAAAAAGATTCCAGTCTCTGAGACCCAAAGGACAGTCTGCCCTGTCCTACAGGGTTGCTAGGAGTCGTTGACAGTCAATTTGGATGTGTTATTTTGCCTTTTAAGTCACTGACCTTGTATGTTGCTTCTGGTCCTGTCTTTCCCCATGGGGTCCCTTTTTGCTCCATCTCCACCTGATCTGCTGATGCAGGGACACCTTTCAACTGAAGGGTGTGGGTGTTCTTTCAATTTGTGTTGCTCATAATTATGAGATTGAATTCTTTGATCTAAGATTTTCTTCCTGGGTATTTCAGTTAACACAAGTGTATCATGTAAATTCATACTTATAATGAATATAATTTTAGAGTTAAAAAACCCTAACAGTAAAATATCAACAATCACTGGCCAACTAGTTTTCAGTGTAAGCAATTTAGCATGGTAATTTTAATTTATAATTGAGAAATTTTAATTCCTCTATTGTAAAAATCACCACCAGCCCAGATGAAAATTAAGTTTTCATTTGTAATTGACATGAAGTAAAAATATAAAAGCTTGAGTCCTCTTCAAATCTATTTAGGGCCTAAACAATGAATTTCTCCATGTCATTGTTGATCACTAAGTAATGGCAGTAAATCTATTTCTCTTTACTACAGATATATGGTGCAGTGGCCGGGAGTGCGGATATTACGTCGCCAGGAACTGGATGCCTTCCTGGCTCAGGCATTATCCCCCAAACTTTATGAGCCTGATCAGCTTCAGGAGCTGAAGGTAACTCATAAACCTTCTTTTATTGTCTTGGGAGGTCGTGCTCTGGATTCTGTTTAACACAGCTAACTTTCACTGGGGAGTTTTGATCTGTGCACTGAGCTTGGGTTAAAGGAATATTCCTTTCTAGACATGGATTTGCTATCCCTAGCTTGGAAATTATTAATTCTACTTTCTAGATAAAGATTTTCCTGTGTTTACCAATGAATGTTTATTCTTGTCTTTCACAGCAGGAAATAAATGTTCCTTTTTTATTTTAGGAGGTGTTTCCAAACTGGGAGGGCTTAATATTAAGAATTTTCTGACATTTAGCCAGCATTCTTTTTCTTAATTCATTTCATTGTTTCTAATTACAACTTTAGTTTTCTCTAAATAGTATTCTTTACCTTTGTAGCATTGTACTGCCCCTTAAAACAAAACAAAGCACTTGAAGAGCACTATTACGCCATCATCCCTATCCCCCTCTGTGGTCAGCATTTAATATCATATTCTTTTTAATTTTCCCCTCTAATATGTTATTTTGTTGTTTCATTGTTTTGATAATTTTCTCCTAGTTGCTACCTAAGTTATTTAGTGTGCATCTTTTCTAGTACAGTTTAATTAGTTGTTGTGCTCTCATGGTTGTAATTGTTTTGGGATTTCTATATAAAATTTTAGAAAGCTCAAGGATTTTTTTCATGGTTAAATTAGCAGATCTCATTTCTTTTTTTAATTTATTCAGGAATTTTTCTTTTTTATATTTGCTATTATTTACTGATTTCCCCCCAATTTTGATATATAATAAACTAAGCTAATTGCTTTTACTTTTAGATATTTTTACCATTCTTTTTGAAGATGGTCTTTTCTCACAGGAGTTTTAGGCTCATTTTATACATTTTCAGTATTCTAAAGTTGGTCTTCCCCTAAACTATTGTGGTAAATTTAGTAAATGACTAGCTCTGAAGCCATTTATGATTACCTTAATAATTCCTAATAATGTTGAGACAAACTAAGTTTTAAAAAAGAATTTAAAACTGCAATGAAAACTTAGGGTAAATTTACCTCAAATTGTATTCTTTAGATAAAGCTATTCTATATGTGAGATAGATATTGATCGATTTTTTTATTTTATTTTATGTGTTTGAATTTTAAGTTGTGTTTGTTTTTAAATGTTTGGTCAGGTTTTTCCTACAACACAGAACAACGGAGATTAAGTACAGGTTCTCATTCCTTGTGTTCTTACCCAGAATGTTTCACCACCACCGTCTTCATTACCAGATTGTACTTTCAGGGGTGTTGTGAATACTTTTATTATAGTGTGGTGCCATCCCTCTACCTCTACTTCCTGTTTCTCTTATATAGATTTTTACATCAGTATTGACATCCCAGTTCTGAAAATCAGACCACCAGGTATCAGGTATGCCCACTAAGCCTTATTCACCATCAAGTTACTTTGACTCAAAGTTCATCTTATATCCCATATTCCTTTCATTTTTGGATCGAACGTAGGATATAACTTTTGAAAGAGAATCACACACTAAGCTTTCATTTTGGTTCTTTTGAGATCTTAGTACTTTCATGATTTCCCCGATTCTTCATCTAATGTTAGACGTTTCTAGAGACGTATTTAGAAAGATGTATTTTATATATAGTTTACTTCAGTCTCATCATTCCTTTGGGCTTTGCTTGTCTGGCGGTCTACAGTTCTCTTTAATAAAAACAACCTGTACCCTATATGTTTCATGTTCGTTATTGTAAGTTCCGAGAAGGCTATAAGGAAAACTTACGTTCAGGTGGGGAAAGGAGGTAGGTTTTTTTTGTTGGTTGGTGTTGGTGGTGGTTATTTTTAGAGATTGATGACCCCCTCGGCTGTCAGATTGAGGATTGGCAGGAGTAATCATTATTCAAATGATTATTCAAAATTCTATGCAGAGAGCTGAGGGTTTCAAAATTCAATGATAGAAAAATGAGTTTCCAAACTGTGTTTTTTGTTGAATATTAAAATTCTCTATTAAAAGCAATGTTAATAATTTTCTATAGTACTCCATTTTACTGTTTATAATATAGTCAACTCTTGATTTTGTTGTTGCTTTTGGGACCCATTGTTCAGTTTGTGGATTGCCCAAACCCTCCTTTCCTCCCATGTTTATTGCCTGCTATAAGGTTATAAGCGTTGCCATTACAGGAGAAAACAGAGAAAAGACCGATTTTGTCATTGTGGTCTTTGGTTAGTTTTTCTGATGAGAAGCTTGTTGGCAAAAGATGTTGAAACCGTTAAAGAAAATGAACATTTAAGGATTTCATTCCATCCATGCTTCATCAACTGTTCTCATGTGTGATTGATAGTGTACTACGTAGTTCCTGAAATACCCGAGATGGTGATTAATGGGCATCATAAGAGCTTCTCCTAGGTTATCAGCTGAAATAGAATTATTAAGGTATAATCAACACTGACCCTTTGTTTTGAGGAGGGTGGGGGTAAAGAATGAGGAGAAGAACTTTTATGCAATTACAATATTTGTCCAGTTTCTATCTCCTTTACTCTTGCTACCCTATAATTACCTTAAATTCTTTTAACAGTTTCACATGCCAAGTGCAGAATATAAAAGATGGAAAATGAAGAGCTTTAAAGACAGTATTAGGGGCGTGCAACATGTCTGTGATACCTGTAGGACTTATTTTGCATATAGGTAAATATAAAAATTAAAATAAGAGTCTGTTGCCCAGTAATTGGAAATTGAGCAAAGTAACTACATTACAAATGGCTTCTTTAGCTAATTTGGGCCAGGATTAAATTTCATAGTTGTATTTCCTATAAAGCCCAACTTTTTGTCCTTGTTTCTATAGTGGAGGATCCTTCGATAATGTTGAGTATGTTATCTGAATTGTTTTAAGAGGATGAGGTTAGAGTTTGAATATTATAATGTTTCTAAAATCAAGGATTAAGATTCTGATTCTATCAGTTACTAGTTTTGTGGCTTTGGCCACTCAGCGACTGATTTTTTCTATAAAATGTAGTATTAATAACGTTGCTTAATAGGGTTACTGAGGGAATTATGAGATAGTTCATGTAAAAATACTTAGAATAGTGCTTGTTACGTATTTATTAAGTGTCCCAGGGATATTGGATATTATTTATATAGTTACCTTAGAAAAAAATGTATTAAAATTTTTTTACAAGATGCTATGAAATGTAAAAATTTTCAAATTCTAGAATAAGGCAAAATCTGCACATTTGCACATTACTTAAAAACAAGTTTCTTTTTGAGAAATTTTCTCTAGATATCCTCTGGTTATAACAAAACAGAAAATTGTTTTGAAAGTGGAGACATCATTTTAAAAATCTTATAAAAATACAGCTCAACCAAGGTTGCAGTCACTTAATCTGTGCTTGTATATGTACATATGCGCACATGTGGATAATCTAGAATTTTTTTCATTCTTCTAGTAAATAAATTTGGATAATAGTCTAACTTAGGTTTGGTTGTGTTGTAGAACCATTGTTTCTTAAACCTAGTGTATAGATAGCTCTTTGCTTCAAAAATGACTTCAAATTATCTTGATCAAATAATGATTGAATATAGATATAACAAACAACATCCTGTTAGAATGCTGCTTCATATTTTAATGGAGGAAAACTTCAGTGTTTCTGTTACTGCATTTGAACAGCAAACATCTTTTAGAATGACATTAGTTGACTCATTTCCTTTAATTAATCCTTGATCCAGATTCTCCATTCTCTCTGAGCTGGGGGTGCCAAAGCTGGGAGCCTGGGAACTGGAAACTTGGGGTGAAACACTGGTTCTTAGTCTGCTGCCTTAGCTGTGCATCAGCGTAGTCCTAGCACAAGGCACTGCTGTATGACAGCTGATAGTCTGGGGAGTCTCAGCTGCCTGGCAGGAACCACGTTACCTTGCCCAAGGAGAGAAAGTACAGCTACAATTGCTCCTGGCCTTAGAGGAATGCAAGGCAGGTTCCTGAGAAGTAGCTTGGATTTATTTGCTAATCTTCTCCTTGCCACTTTAAACTAGCAATGAAAAGTATGAAAGGTCAGCTTTGAGAGAGGTAAGATTCCTTCTTTCTTGAGATATTATACTAAGAGGAAGAGAATTTCTTTCTACATCTCAAAACCAGGAAAGGGCTATTCTGGAACCTAAATCAAGGGGAAAGATTTATTTATTTTCATTTTGTTCCAATCTGATCCTCGTCCTTCACTTTCAACTTACAGGTTTTAAAAAGCATCTTATTCTTATCACCCCAATTCCCATCTTCCCTTCACTTCAAAATTTTTTTAGTCAACTTTTCCGCACCTACACGGGAAAAATAGCAGTTATTGCATAAATGAATTGAGTATAGTTAGGCCAATATTTATAAGCTTGTTAACAGGATTCTCCAGGTTTGGGAAGTTCTTAACTCCACTGAGTTTAAACACAAAATATTTTGAGAACATATTATGAGCGGATTATAGACACTGCCTCTGATAGCACAAAACAGTGGTCACAGATTTATGCGTTTGGCACTAGAATGATCTTTTTATGATCATTTAATGAAAAGCCGTTTGCCTGCCATAACTAGACATTGCTTAGAAGTAACCCCATAAAGATAGCATGTTGAGAAGCCTTCCTTTTAGAAAATAAGTATGCAGAGTAGGAAGATAGAAACCCAAATACAGTTAAAATGGATTAGCCTTTGTGTAATCCACAAACTTGGTCCTTCACGTACAGATAATCAAGAGTTGACTGTATTTCTGTTAGTGCTTATTAGTCTACTCATCTTATGTTAGGAAGAGGGGGTTTTATGGAAGGAAGAAACATAGCATTCATCAATGATTAAAAAAACGTAAAATAGAAATTTATGTTGGGTTATAATATTATGCATCGTTCAAGTATAATATTTTTGTTGTTATATTCTTTCATTTATAAACTACTCATTTCTCCTAAAACATTTTGGCAGTATCATTAATAAGTTGCTTTGTAAATCTTAACATGTAAAATAATGTAAATATAAAGTACAGATTTATTTTAGAATATAATCATACTAAGTAAATTTTTAGTGTAACTAGTAAAATGCGAAATCTTAAGTCATTTCTTTTTATAAGCTTTATGCTAATTTGCTTCCACTGTTTAGGATGTGAAGTATAAAATTTTACTTCATAAGTAAATTATGGGATTTTTAACTGTTAAAGAGACTATTGATAATTTGTTACTTTGTATGTCAAACTTAAATATAGTATTACTTTACCTTGTGTAGTGCTTTAGAAATAGAAATAATCCGTATATTTTATAAAGCATTCTATTAAATCTAAATTTATTAAATAATATAAGTGGTATTTCTGTTCAAATAAGGTAAATATTAGCTGTTTGTTGAGAAACAATCTGTATTAAAGTTGGAGAGTTATAATGAAAATTTGGAAGAATTAAATACTATAGTACTCTTATTCCATAGAAATTACTTTTTTCAATTTAAAGATTGAGAACCTAGATTCCCGTGGAATTCAGTTGTCGGCTCTGTTCATGAGTGGAGTGGACATGGCCCTGTTTGCAAATGATGCGTGCGGGCAGCCAATCCCATGGGAACACTGCTGTCCTTGGATGTACTTTGATGGCAAACTCTTCCAGTTCAAACTCCTTAAAGCCAGTCGGGAAAAGACTCCACTAATTGACCTCTGTGATGGTCAGGTATGCTATGGGAATCTAATGCCTATATGAACTCTATAGCTTGATTTCTCATTTGGGGTTTGTGGGACAGAGAAGAGGCAGGTGGCCATTCCATGTATGTTCACTTACTATGAAGAACTAAAGCTCATCAACATTTATAATGAGACTCAACCCACGTCACAAGGATTCTGTTTTAGATAGAGCCCTGTCCAGGGTGTGCTTGAAAGTCATTTGACTAAGAACCATGATAAGCTGGGCTCTGGCAATGCTATTTAAAAATCCCTGTCTCCCCCCCACACCCCAAAATTTAATTCCGTGAAAATTGTCCCCAATGTGAAAAAGGGACTTCCAGTTGCTCAAGTTTTTTTTAACCTCAGGCTCTATAAACTATAAAATATGAGTTCTTCTCCACTGTAGGACCTTGTCCTATTGCCATCTAAGGACATCTCAGTAGACAAAGAAACAAGTTCTATCCAGTGCTCGCTTATTAAAGATTAGTCTCTCTTTTAACAACAACGGATACTCAGTTGAATGTTTTAGATTTCGTTGTCCACACTTAGGCAACTTGAAGTTTTTGACATGCTGTAACTGATACATGAAGGTAATTTACCCTGTAGGTCTATTCATGGTCTCCAGGCTTTCCTTCAGCTCCTTCTTATTTGTGAAGCGTGTTAGATACCAAGTGTTCACCATCAATAGGAAAATAAAAATATAAATGTGACAATGTACGTTAACAGTATGACATTCATCTAATGGAGAGTATGCTGATTATTTCCTCTGTCTGGATTAGGCATTGATTTTTGAGAACAAAATGTGTATTCATATGATACATTTTATGCTAAATGGTTCTTACTAAAGATATCTTGAGAAAGTGGAACTTTTAAGCCTATGTTTGCCTATAATATTAAAAGGTACCATATATACTCGAATATAAGCTGACCTGAATATCAGCTGAGGCACCTAATTTTACCACAAAAACTGCATTAAAAATGTGCTGAAAAACTCGGCTTACACACGAATATATATGGTACCTTCATTTACTTAGGTTTTGCTTTTATGGTTTATTTTGGCATTCTATAAACAATACCACTGAATATAGTATGATTAATTTATTTATAGGTAAATAGGTCATTATGTTTCAGGGGTTGATAAATTTTATTTTCTTAGCGTTCATTTCTATTACATTAAAACATTCTGAATCATGTTTTTCACATAATGGTTCCT